AATTAAAGCTGATATCAGTCAACATGTCACTGGTTAATGGTTAAAGATTATTTATCTGTGTCAAACAGAGACCTAAGAATAATAAACTGTACATGTGTATAGACAACACACACAAATCAAATAAATGTACTTATATATCATATCCATGATGTAAAACAACCTGTGAGATGATGCTACTTGCTGTTGAACTGAGAACTCCTGTGTACTAGTGCAGGTGCTGAGACAGTAAATGTGTCACTGTGTTACGGCCAAATGATTGGATTTTATGAGCAGTGTTCACGAGGGTTTGTATAGGTGGTGTTTCTGGCTGTTTGCGCTCCAGCCCCAGATGAAAGATGTGTTCAGAGATTGATCATAATGAAGCAGTAAAATGCAGGTAAATGTTTTCAGCTATATCAGAGAAATGTGCACTTGACTTTCTGAGCACTGGACATAAGGCTCAGCCTTTATGTTGATCAAGTTATATTGTATTGCTATTAGCCATCGACATTGTGTCTGTGACCAGTGTTGTTCAATTCAAGTTATTTACAGACAAAACAAGAGAATAGGCAGAAAAAGATTTATTTAAACTGAGATCTGCTGAAAAAACCTACAGACAGTATCAGTCTAACAAATAAACAGAAGTGTTAATTAATTCCTCCAAATGCAATTAGATTTTATTCAAGCTGGCATTTAATAATAACTGCAATTACTTCAGGCATTCAGAAAATAAAAGTTACCAGCGTTAATCTTTGCAACAACCCTTTTAGGCTCCCTTGTCATATTTCTTTATAATTAAGTTGGACCAGCTCCAGGTCTGTTTTTTCAGCTGGCCCTCACAGCAGCCATGGCTTTGCATCACTGACTTTGTATCTCCCACTGCTGTCGAGAATGGCTTAGTGCCCGCACAGCGAACAGACACACACCACCGGCCGTCGCCACTGGATAGAAAAGGACAAACACCACGATGCCCCGAAACATGTTGTTGTCTCACACTGTAGCCTTAGACAACTGCAAAGGATTAGGAACAATAGTTAGTTTCTCATCCCGCTGTCAGGCATCATCAGCAGAGTTAAAGCCAGTAAGTAGCTTCCTGAATGTACTGTAGAGCTGTGCCTGAAGCAGCTATTATATGATGTTTTGGTTTATTAGAAGAACAAAACAATGAAAGTGCTTAACAATTTTGTTATACATCCACCAGTGGTGAAACCAGGGTAATTCCTGACCATTTTGGTGCCACAGAGAGAAAAGATCTTGCAGTACTCTAGTACATTTGCATGAGTGCCGATGTCCTTGGTTAGTCGCAAGTCCAGTTTTATTTCAGTTGATTATTTGTCCCTATATCATAGAAAACATCTACACAAATGCGTTTAAACACTTAAGCTACGTTTACAACTGCCATCCACGCTGATGCGTTGTAATTCTCATTTATGCTGCCTTTAAGTATGAAAAGAGATACGTCCAATTATTATAATTATAATTATTTAACCATCACTTCCATGTGCCCTTCATGTTCGCATGGTTGTTAAGAAATATATCCACTAGAGGGCAGCGTAGAGTCCAGAGTTTCTGACACAAAGGCCAAAGTGGCAGCGTTGTAAAAGGTGGTGGTCCAAAGTTCTACCATCGTTGAAATGTCTTCCTCATGTCTTATGGTCGGATTTGTGGCGACACTGCCCCCCCCCCACTACGTCCATATCTAACGTCGGTCAGTCTGGTTGTGCAGAAACTGAGACTTTAAGAAGACTGTTAGAAAATAAATCCTTGTGTGTTTTCTGGTGTGTTAGAATGGAAGGAGATTATTTCTGATATATATGAAGCAAAAAACGTTCACCTGAACGAAGATTGTTTTCATTTTTCATTAGAGTGGACAAAGCCTTAGTCTGTATCATGCTTTAAAATTAGCTGCCTGAAGCAATTTTGAAATTGAGAGTCTGTTATATAGGGAGCGGTGAATGAGTTTAGTAGGGTGAGTGACACAGTTTTAATATTATAACTGTGCATCTGTCGCCAGAGTTCCCCCCCTCTCTTACAGGTGTGTCGGGCACAGTGAGCAGTGGGTTTTTTTCACATTATAAAACCATATTGGATGTAAATGTAACAGATTTTAGAAGCAGATTGGGCTCCTGAAATTAGTCACAAAAACAATTTCCGTGCTTTGGCGTCCCTCCAGCTGTTGGCACAGTGGTCCAACACCTAGTGACAGAGTCCAGGCGTGAAGTCACTCACAGGGAAAGCAGATCGTGACGGGATGAGTGTTAGAGATGGCAAAGATTCCAACATCGAAGAGCGTTGATGATTGTTTTGTTGAATTTGAGGTATTTAATAAAAGGCACATCGTTAAAAAAATTCTGAAATTGCTAGAATGCAGAATGAGCCTAAATAATCCCCCGGGTCGTGCTACATGGATTACACAGAATGATAATGTTCATGCAAAACAAATATTCTGAACAAACCAAACCTCTCTTTCACAGCCAGTTTTTACCTTTTCATGAAATTTCACCAGATGGGAAAATGTGGCGATTCTGGGATTGTTCGTATTTCAAATGAGAATACAGGTGGGAAACACACGGCGCACACACCAATCAATCCCCATCACACTAATTAATTTGAATATGTGTGTGTATGTATGTCGCAAATCAGCGTGTGTGTTTGTGCGCTCAAAGCTAGCAAGCTAAAGTCCTTGAGAGCTGATACGATTTGGTCCATTTAAGGTAGCCAGTGGAAGCTGTGCATTTAAACACATGCTATCGCACGCTGACAGGCGAGCAGGGAGGCAGACGTGCACGGATGAAAACACAGCGGGTGCACTGCTGCAGGTCTGTGTGTGCCGCCTGAGCCCTGACAGAGCGTTTCAGCCCCTGAATCACTGCATGCACTGTGGTTTGGATTTGGACTTCAGCAGCTGTGGTTTTAGTGCTGCTAAGAGGTCCTGGTTCTGTCGATAAGCTTTATTAGCTGATGTAGTGTTTCATGGTTTTACATCCTGATGCCGCCGAGGTAAACAGCAGCTTGTGTGAGGGCCAGAGCTTCTTTTTTTACAATGTCCTCAAGTGCCTCCCTGTCTCCTCTGTCACCTCTCAGTGCTGGGTATCAACCGGACGGTTCCATCCTGACCTTTTCTCCAGTGAGCAGGATCAGCCATGTTGAGTCATCAGTCAGAGGAGGAAAATAAAGACATGCACTTGACAACGCTGTCACTGAAGGGCAACGTTTACATGGGAGACACAGTGTGTGTTGACATTTCTGGGAGACTGTGGACAAAGTCATGGTATTGTGACAGGCATCGTCCAAATGTTAATACTGACAAAGAAATAACAACTGTTTTGACATGAGGGAAAGCTTGACTTCTCCAAGTGAAAAAAGTTCAACGTAAAAGTAATGCTACTTTTCAAAAGTATATTTCAAAAGTATAACATTTCTTTTCTTTCCTTCCAGTAAGTAATTGCAGGTCAAAAGATGTCAAGGTAAAAGGAAAGGTTTGACATTTCAGAAAATACACTAATTTGTTTTGGGGAATTGGGGAATTATGTGCTGGAGTATTTTAAATGTCAAACTATTCCTTTTAAATGGGGCTAATTTTGGTTGGAGCAGAAAGGTGTTTTCAACATTTCTGTAACATATAAGAGCATTTTAATGACTACAGTTCAATGTGAATCTGGTCCTCTGCTGTTGAAAGGATCATTTGTAATTTAACATCTAAAACACTGAAGGGTTTGTATTGAGTCGGACTCTTTTCTATTATCCGCTGCTTGTTCAGATTGTGTTTGTCAAAATGCTGTTGCTCTTCGGCAGATGAGAGTAACAAGAGTCTGATGGTGGCTGATAAAGGCTGCACATTGGTGCTTTGAGGTCATTTTGAAACATCGCCACACCAACAACAATCAATAGGGGTGGGAGAGGGGCTTTGGTGGTGTTTAGCATGTGGCTGTTTTTAAGTGTTAGCTATGTTTACCATCTTCGCTCGAGAAGACCTAAAATTTTAGGATTCATCTTCTGGAAATCGTGAATGATTATTCAAAATTTCACGGCAAAACTTTGAGATATTTCAGTCGAGACCAAAGTGGTGAACCCCCTGGCTGACACTGCCAACCATGCCCCCAGCATGGATTCATAGGAACACCAGACCTCTGCCTCCACGGCCAGTTTGATTGTTTTATTTCTCACCCTAGTGTCCTCTCTATCTCTAGGTGTTTTGGAGAAGACACATGTATCACCATCCCTGACATCGAGGCGGTGGTGATGGTGCTTCAGCCCAGCGAGCCCAGGATCACCATCACTGGAGTGGAGAGACTGAGCTGGCCAGTTTCTGACCTCAGAGCACGAGGTGGCATATCACTTTTCCTGGATCTCCACATCATCAGTACAGTGACCAGGGCAGATGCCGCAGTACATCACTCAGGTATGGACTGTAATTCAATTCAGACATTTGTTTATGTTTTGAAAGGTATTCTAAAAGCTACTTAAGATAACATCTTAGTGTTTTTGTACAGGGTACTTTCTCTGTGACAAGCTTTACCACAAACATAACTTTGCACATTCCTATGCAGTAAATATAAATATAGTTAGAAGTGAACAGGTTAGATAGATTACATTAAAAAAACAGGTCCCAAAAAAAAGTGAGTAAACATGTTATTTCTAACTACGCTACAGTTTACAAGGTTATAAAACAATCTGTGAACACCACAGCCTCAGAAGAGTTGTTTGTTGTTTGTGTCTGATGCAACATGGCTCCACATGGTAATGAACTCCCTGAACAAGTAGGAAAGCAGATTGCGAGAATTAACAAAGATGGGAGAGGATACGAGAGCACCAGTAGGCCACTGACCATATTTATATTTACATAACAAAGAAAAGTTGAAGGTAGAGCATCAAAGTGGGAGATATGAGCCTCTGCAAATCTGGTGCAACTAAATATTTTAGTTTTTTTCATGTTGATAATGTGTTCAGTCATTCATGAAGTCGCATATCCCATGCAGTGCCACCTGTCTCACTATCAAAATAAGCCTTCAGAGAAAGCTGAACATTTCGTTAATCCTCATCAGGCTGCAGATCAGCAGCAGGGATCATTTCTTTCATCCTGCACACACTGAACTTAAGACGAAAGTTGATCACCATTTCTCTAAAGGTTAGTCTCCAGTAATGTAGTTAATTTGACTCACAGGCAGCACAAAGCAACTATGCATATTCATCTGTTCATTTCCAAAGTGTGATTACTGCAGAGGAGACGTTTCCATATCCCAGACTTACTGCTAAAGACTATGACAAAATCATAGAGAGTGTGGTCATTGATCATTTTTAACATTTTAGTGAAGAACTTTTTATGTTTGACTACAACAGACTTATAGATAGTTCCATATTGCAAAGTTGCACCTTGTGGTTCTGTAACTAAAAGGGATTATTTAAAGCCACATAATAAAAATCAGGACACACAGGGACACTTGAAAAAGTTTTTTATTTAACTGTGTCTTTATTTGAAAGTACTCACGTGGGTATTTTTTAGCAAATATACTTAAAGTATTGAAAGCAGCAGAGTGACTACTTTCAGAGTTACATTATAGCGAAGCATTATAATTACGTACTAACATTTTGTCGTTTGTCTTCTTCATACAGTTAAAAATTTTACACAAAGGAAAACATTTTTACACAGACCAGGTTTTACTAGTGGTAGTGTTCAAGTGCCTCCAAACTGAACTTGAATATAGTACTTGAGGAAATATCCCAGAGTTGAGGAGAAGTGCTCCTTCTCACCGGCTGTAATCTGCAGTGTAAGCTCCAGCCCTTTGTTCCGTGCAGCTCCTCTGGCCTCGCCAATATGTTGAGTCAGTTTCCTGAGTCTAGAGTCTATCCTCTGCACAGGTCTGTAGGTATTATCCCCTCTACTGTTTCTATACCCTCCACCTATCCCTCCCTGTGCAACTGTACACCCACCCTCCTGCTGAGTAAGACCTGCATCGACCAGACCGCTGATTCCCCAGGTCGCACCACCTTGAGTAAATGAGAATGACACAGAAATGCTGGCGGCTCTCGTCTTGTCCAGCGATCAGACCACCGAGGCAGGAAGAGGCCAACTCAGCCCGGCTCATCCCGGGCCCCCGCCGCTAGCAGCCAATTAGGAGCAGATAAGCAGACCGAGAGGGAGGTTTTAGCCTTCCATTGAGCATAATGCTGCGAACGGAGGAGAGCACAAAGTGGTATTGCTTTCAGGAGTCGGTGAAACTCTTTCTGCTGGTGAAATAGAGACTGCAGCTGGGGGGAAGAGATTAGCCGAAAGCCAGAGAAAGACATAGAAATGGAAAGAAAGAGGGGAAGAAATGGGGAGAAAGTGTTTGGGTTAGGGAGGCACGATGAAGTTCCATAATGAGCAGATTTGGGGTTCTCTCAAGGCTTAAAGGATTCAAGATAAATCACATATTTCTTTTACCAGGGTGTGCAATAAGTTTCTTTTGGACCCCGCTAATCACCCCCTCGCCCTCTCCCATGCTTTGTCTCTCTCAGTCATTCATTTGTCTTCATTGAGCCTGCTTGGCACTGCCTCATTCCCCTCGCTCTTACACTACAGAATCTATTCAAGGCTTATTCTCATGCCTTTACTCAAAGCGTAGGTCATCACTTCTTTCTTTAACTCATCATCTTTAGTGCTCAACACTTTCCCCCATTTGATTTCAGGGTCATCTTCTGTTCTCTCTGCCCTCTTTCACTTTAAAGCCTTTTCTTTAGCTTTTTCATTTCACTACTTCACTTCTTTGTGCACTCAGTGGCTTTCTCACTCCATCTCCTTTCTCTTCTTTATAATTTTTTTTTCATGCCGCCCACACTGCAGCTCAATGATCAATGTTCGCTGCACGATCACACAAGCTGTTTCTGGGACAGTCCCTTTTTCCGCCTGTAATATTAGTGTTTGGGCGCTTTCTCACTTTCTTTATATGTTAAAGAAACTTTCAACACCAAGCAGGAGAATACACAGGCCAGGTAGAGTAAGTAACTGTGACAAGGCCCAGTTTTAACTAGAAACAGTTGGATCAGTACAAACAGTCAATACATTGATTGAGATTGTTTCTCTACAAAAAACTCACAACATGTTCCATCTTTTCACCAGGTAGCAATTTCTAAAGATTCTTTCAGGGTTATTCTCTGAAAGTCGATCTATACCTTTACCACCCAACAAGGAACCGGTTAAAAATTATGAACAACAACACATCCCAACATTTTAGCTTTGTCTTTAACTCCTCTAAAGGCTCTGCCATGTCCACCAGCTAACATTGTCTGTCCACTGTTTGCTGCTGGCACAGTTAGTTCCTCTGAGTTTTCTGCTGCTGAGTAGCAGCTGCAAGCTCCATGAAAATGTTTCCTGCAGCCTGAATTTCATCTTTAAAGAAAATACAAATGTAGACCAAACACAAAACACATAACTTCCTCTGGAACAGAATTTTCTTTCTACCTGTTGTGCTCAAACTGAACCTTTTCTCCACATCATGTCTGCCACCCCCTAGAGACCCTCCTCCAACACACTCCTCATTCAGTCTTTCACCTCTGGGAGGCTGTTAAATGGGCACAGCCGGTTCCCTCCCTCTGGACTCGACAGTGGGGGAGAAGGCTGGGTAGCAGCAAGAGGTGGAGGATAGTGCTTAGCACACTGTCAGAGAGGCCCAGCAGCCACACAGCACTGCTGCGATGGCAAGAGTCTGAGGGGACTTATTACTAAAGCAGCTAATGGTACTGTCTGTGTGCAGAGGGTTGACGAGTAATTGGATTCTGGGAGCAGGTAGGTGTGTTGTGTCTTGTACTATATTTGAATTATGGTTCCTCAAAGTGTTCAGGGTTTTTCTTGCACAAACGTTGTGGCACGGCAGCGACAGCGCGACAGTCGGATGACAATTTAGGGTTCATACATTCACACTTGACATGTTGGCGTGTGTGATTATGTGTGTAGCACGTCGTCCCGGGGTGCTGGAGGAGATCATTCATAACTTGGACTATTGTGACATTCTGGTGCTGGGGGAGGAGCTGAGGCCAGAGCAGGAGTCTCTTCAACTGCAGCGAAGTGCTCTGCTTGGAAAACACCTTGACGCCACAAACTCCACCTCTGGCATGTCTATATACGGTACGTCACTATGGTAACAACATTTGGGCTGTTCTCAGGCAGATTGTTTCCATGGTAATTACACATCACTGTTCTCATCCTCGCTGTTTTACACAGTTACTTGATGATATGAAAACACTTAAACCCCAAAATATCAATGCACCTTTCACACACAATGAATTAAGACTGGAAGTGAAGTACCCTGTAATCAAGCTTGTTATCGCATCTTAATGCTGGATCCGATGCTCAAGTGTTGAACATTACACAGAAACATGTTACAGTGATCGTAACGTCACTGACTTAACCAGAATATTCCTGAGGTCATACACAACAACAGTTTGCAGCTACATTGCTTACTTGATTACATCCAGTACAATCTTTAATAAATGATATTTATGATATTTCAATATGAAAACTTCCCTCTTGGCTAAAAAGTGGTTAAATGCTAATGTTAGCTGATGTCTAATGAAAGTATACTATAGTGCGTCTGTTCAGACTTGTGCGTGTCTACAGGAATCTAAATCTTTGTTGTCTCGAATGGTTCCGCCTCTGTACTCTGTACATTTCTGTCTCTGCTGGTCTCTGCCTGTCCACAGGCGTAGACTCCATGTCCAACTATGAGCAGGTGATCAGACAGGTGCGTTACTATAACTGGCAGCCTTCATCGCTAATAGAGAGAAGATTTCGCCTCACCTGCTCGGAGCTCAACGGACGCTACACCAGCAATGAGTTCAACCTGGAGGTCAGTGTGAACCACAGCTTGACGGATGTGGGTTTTTTAAGGTGGTAAAGAGAGTTTTTGGACAAGCTGTCACTATCTTTGTCTATTAGCAACCCTTCCAGTATGGATTAGTTTAAGAAATGTGTAAGCAGAGATATAGCAAGCCAGGTATCGCCAGACCAACCTACATAAGGGAATGGGAACAACTCAGTTCAGTTTTAATTTCCAGAGGGTGCTATCAGCGGTCACAGAGCAGACCTACGATGAATCAGAGCAACAAAACATGTGACGTAGCAGAGAGGAAAGACAGACTACAACATACAGCAGTTGTTTGTTCTTATTAAAGAGAAAATTTAAGGATGAAACTCAGACCGTCATCCAGCAGCAGCACTTGGTAGCAGAACATCTTTGTAAAACATTTCTCCATTTCTGTGAAAACAAAACATATATTGAAAAAACACAATAACACAAACAATGGAATTCCAAAGCAAAAGAACGAAAACCTTGTGTGATGAATATTTGATGAACAACCCAACACAAGTTAATGTGAATCTTTCAGTTACAAGGTGTACACATGTGAACCTTCTTCAGCAGCTTGTCACTCTCACAAAGTCCTGGTTCAACATACCAGCAGAAAGAACACTGGACATTTCATATTCCTTCTATATCCCTGAACTGTTCATCCACATATTCTCATTCACATACACTCCACCTGCAGTTACCTAAGGATAAATACCAGAATCGAGTTTGACGAACTGAGGGGTGGTTTACATTCCACCTTCCTGTATTGAGCTGACCCTGTTCCTCATAAGGCACAAGTTCATTCCCTTTCGTATTTCTCACAGAATCATTTTCAAATCTGGAATTTGAGGCTATGTTTTACTCTGGCCGGAATATTTCAGCTGTACGGGGTTTAGGGGTTAGCAGCAGGTTCAGGCACAAAGGTGGGACTGAACAGATAAGACTGTGAAATGTTAACTTTGATCACGTCATCCTCCAAAACTCAGCACTTCTTCTTCACCTGTTCCCATCCCAGGTGAGCGTCGTGCACAGCTCAGAGGCCGGGGAGCATGTCAATCACATGGTAGCCCCGCCTCAGTACATGCAGATGGTCCACCATCCGTCCATGATTCACAGCCTGTACCCCAGCCACAACTCAGGTAAGAGAACACACGTGTGCTCACTGTCTCTAATTCCTCTGTATAGAAACTGTTTGATGAGTACAGCCAACAGAGATTACATTTAATTTTGATTTATTATTATAGTAAAAATAAGAAGTCAAAAAATTAACCAAGATTAATCAAACAAGTTTGTGATGAGGACAATGCAGATGAGGAATCAACAGAGGATCTCCTGCAAAGACAAACTTTGTGTTGTGTTGCTACTCTTGTTGGGGAATCTGCTCGTAAAGCTCAACACCAGTATGAAGCTGACGCTACACAGGCACGGGTGGATCTGCAGCACCACATACCTCATGTTTACATTTTGTTCATGTATTATTTGGTGCACATTTTAACTTGCTTCCAAGGATAATTATTGCCATATGCAATTCATTTGGGATAATCAATCACAAAGCACAGCCCTAACAAACAGTAATAAGGTTTAGGATTCATGTTTTGTTATGCATATAAAAACATCACTACTGATTAGTCTCTGCTCATGCTCCAATAATTCCGGAAATTGTAGTACTATAGACAAGGCAGGAGGAGTAGTACACGACGACCCGAGTTACTCAGCTGACGTCTCTGATCACAGTGAATCAAATGTGATTTTACTCTTCTCAGTGAATGCTCGTTTTCTAGTTTGAATCTCATATTGTGTCTCACTTACTGGACCTCAGTGATAGAGAAGAGTGTAAACCTGCCCGGTCACATGATGCTGCAGGCTTATCGCCCCCCTGTGTGCACGAGTGATCTGAAGAAAAGAGAACATGGTGAGGAGGAGAGATATTGGTCTTAATCTACCGCATGAGATTTCATTATTCATCAGACTCTAATGGATCCTACTTACAGTCCTGGAGAGTTCAGTGGCTAGTGCTGCTAACAGCCCAGAGAGATGGTCTGTGTGTGTGTGTGTGTGTGTGTGTGTGTGTGTGTGTGTGTGTGTGTGTGTGTGCAAACACTCGACCAAGTTACTCCGTGGGGTTGTGTGAAGCTTCACTCTGAGGAAGATCAAAAGCAGAGGATTTAGTCTGAAAATGTGGAGAACTAGACTGAATCAAATGATGATGTGAGCCGTCCCCTGCGAGTCACACCCTCATTAAACACACACACACACACATCAGCAGAGACTAGTGAGGAGAGGTCACGCACACTGAAGTCGTTTTATTTCAGTAGGCTGGAGATCAGAGTAGAAGACATAAACATTTTAGATCCAGACAAATCCCTCAGAGTATGTTGTGGTTATGCTACTAAATAGGTTTATGATTTGCAGCCGTGTTCTGCACAGAGACCACATTTAAAGCCAAGCTTTTAAGACGTGTATTGAAAAAAATCTGTACAGCTATCACTTAGTTGACACACTAAATCTGAGACACAAACTCCAGTATAAAGTTTAAAGTCGCTGTGCTGTCTTCAGAGCACTAGCAGCCAAGCTGAGCCAACTTTACAAAGAAATATAAGATTCTTCTTTTTTTAGCTTAGTTCAGATACATAGACGCAGACTTCATCAGCAGCATCAGCTGCCAGTTTTTTTCAAAAATGTTTTGAGAATGAAAGACTATAGTCACAATGTTCTGTGTTAAAAGAACCTTTTTTGTTTTAATGCAATGCAAACATTGTTGTGGGACAGTGATGGATGAAAGAATCAACACAGATTATTGGTTTCACACAGGAAACAAACGGTCCTGTGTTTTGTCGAGCAATAAAAATTATCCTACTGTGGAATTTCCTCTCCTTTATCTTCTCTTCTCCTATATACTACATCACCTGACTTCCACCTCTGCCCTGCCATAATTACTCCAGCCAGTAGAGGTCACTTAACACTGAAACTTTGGCTCATAAGCTGTGTCTCAACTCAGACACTGCGTCCTTCACAGGCTGCATTTTAAGACCGATTGCATCGTATAGCACTGCGATAAGACTGTCCCATTTCAAAGCCTTCTTCAGATGTGTCCTTTCATCTCAGAGAAATTAAGGGTCCAATTGATGGATCCTTCCGGGACAAACCTATCCCAGGAATCAATGCGCTTCAGTTCCTTTCGAACAGCTAATGACGAGACGTGCTTCAACTCAGCCAAACAGTTAACGGTACAAATAACGGAACACCATGGGGCATTTAAACTTCTCCGTTACTAAGCAACAGTAATAAGGGTGGGATGAGTTGGGGACGTCAATAAAGAAAATCCTCTGTAGGCTGGTCTCATTTCAGTTCGGTCTACCCGTCCTCCGTATGTAGCGGCCACTACATTGGTGCACAGCTATAGACTGTATACGAAGACGACACCTTCCCAAAAGTCAAACATAGTACAATTCAAAATACAAGTCAAATATATTTCTCTCAAACATTGTGTCTGTCATTTTAGGTTCTTTTCACATTGTTGTATGTTCAAGTGTTAATATTTGTGGTAAGTTGGGTTTTAGTTATTTGATGCTATAAAAATGAGCTGCACCCCATGATCACTACTTTGCAAAGTCTGGCTCCAAATGATGTCGTATCAGGGGATATTTAGCTTTTTTTTTAGAAAAAGAAGTGAAAGCGGGTCGCCCACCTTTGTATACAGTCTATGCTTTGGGTCATATTAGTACGGACGAACTGAGGGGTTGTCTTTTACAACATGACAATATCGCTGAGCACTAAACTAAAGTATTGGACAAAATCAAACTTTGACTTGATGAGATGATCAAAGAATCATCAAAGTCAATTTTAATGGCAGTCCAGTTGTCCAAAGGTTCCTAAGACATATTCAAAACAACAAATGAGGACGTCATAATGGTGCTAGAGGTAAAGTCAGGGTGTTACAACAGTCGGGAGGCTTCATGCGCGGAGCACCACGAACATCTGTACAAGATTTCATGGCAATGATAAAGATCACAATCATCAACCAAGGACCCATCTCATATAATGGTCGGAGAGGCCTTTTGTACAATAACATGAAAAAACATTTAAAAATCAATAAGCTATTACAAAGGACAATCACTGTCGAAGAGACCAGAAAACCATGATAACAGCCAAAGAGAATCATCAGCCCCAACACGAAAGAAAAACACTATTATTGCAGACACAAGGTAGATACTGTTTTTCACTCTGGACCAATGTGTTGGACTCTCTGACAGGCTGACATCGCCATCACTTGAGCCATATGCTGCTGGCAAGGCTGATAAAAAATAAAGTTGACAAAATAATGTCACCTTATTGTATCACCATGTGTCTGGAAAATGTCCAGACATAATCAACCTATTTTTAGAGTGATCTGTTTTCTTTCCATTTAGAGCAAGGAGACAAAATGATCACAGAACATTGTAAATACATTAAGTAAGGGAATTCAAAGGAGCTTAACTGTAAAGAAGCCCCTCATCAAGATCCTTTAGCTTCAATACATGTGACGTATGGATCCAAAGATGATGTTTAACATGATGGACTCTGTGGGCAGCACAATGATGCAGTGGTTGGCACTAGCACCTCACAGCAGACTATAGGGTCAGGGTTGATTGGAGAGTCTGAATTGACTGTAGGTGAGGATGTGAGTGTCTCTGTATGTTTGTTTGTCCTCTGCAGATTGCTATTACGGTGCAGGATTTGAGAGAATGCAGCAATGCAGTGGAGTTTGGTCAAATAATTACAATTTAATTTGCAATTACTGCCGTGCATTCCTGTGAGTGTATATATGACAAGCAGAGTGTACACACGCTGTACACCCACCTGCAGGTAGTATCTTGATAACGCAGAATGAAATACTTCAAAGTGGATTTTCCACTGCCTCAAGATAGAAATGCACCAACAGTTCAACTGGACACACCTCATTTTAACACCAGCATATTCCATTGGTGCTCAGACAGGTGCAAGTTTATTTGCTGTTTAAAAAAGTGGGTGCTGGAAGGGAAACACTGCATCAGAACTGCATCTGTCTGTGAAACTACGTGTGTGTAAAATAATGATAAAACCTTAACTGATGAAGGCCGTCTTCTGGCCCAGACCCCACCCTGCTTCATTACCGTCAGCGTAACCAGTTTGTTTCATCAGCCTGGCAACCTCTATCTGTTCTATCCTTCCTGCAGAGCATTGTGCATCAAATACTGGGCAGACAGAGAAAATGACATTTGAAAATCCAAAACAAGTGCTGGCACTTAATCTCCTGAACCGAAAACAAAACCCCCTGATCCCACACATGCAGTTTTCTCTCCAGGGACTTATCTTTTCTTTTCTTTTTTTATCTCACCTCTCTATGTGCTCTCCTCTTGTTTTCAGGTGTACCCAGCGCTGCCACGGTGGTAATTGTGATGTGTATCGCTGCCCTGGTGGTGGTTGTGGTGCTGGGCATCTACCGCATTCACCTGAACCACCAGCAGGAGGTCAAGCTGGAGGATACGGCCAGAGAGGCGGATATGACCTGGAACGACTCATCTCTGACCATCACCATCAACCCAATGGAGGTAGGTTGACTAAAGGAATGTGAAGAGATGCTGTGAGGGAGGGAGCGGAATATAGATAGGGAGGCAAATAGGAGATAGAGAGGATGGAGTGGGTGTTGAAATATCTGCAACGGATGAAATGGTACAGAAATGCTTTGTTTGGTCATTAAGAATTAAAAGGAAAATGTTTTTAAAAACTAATTTCTAATTATTTAATTTCTGAAACTGAATCTTTTCTCACCACAGAAGCTGGAGGAGCCCCAGGCTGCAGAGGAGGAGGCCAGCGAGGAGGAAGAGGAAGATGACGAGGAGGAAGATGACGAGGAAGAGGAGGAAGAAGACGACATCACCAGCGCTGAGTCAGACGACAGCGAGGAGGAAGCGGACGTCCAGCTACCCAGGATGCAACGCTCGTGCAAGAAGGGTCAAAACTGGGACAAAACAACAATATCTTATTAAAACACACTCACAGTCACTCACACACACATCCTGCAACACGGCCATACACAAACCTCGAATCTGATGGTTGAGACAAAAAGACTTTTTGTGATGTTGATGATCTAAAAATGAGGTAATGTGCTACTACTGGAAGACACTACACTGAAACACACACACACACACACACACACACACACACACACACACAGTGCAATGATTTAACCATCGCCTTGTCAGAAAACTCCCATTTTATACAGCTGATAAGAAATGATATGACACTAAAACTGCTCGTCAGTCAACTGACTTTCCTTCTCCTTAAAGGGACAGTTTTTAGGTGACATCTTTCCTCTCTCATTACCGTCTCCACCACAACTACAGTCTTAAGTGAAATAAAGTTGTATGATTCCTATTCTGTCGATTAAACCCCCTGCACCGCACATTCAGTTTAACGCCTCTGACTCCGTGAGATTCCTGATGTCCGGCAAAAAAATGCAAAACAGTCTTTATTTAAGAAAACTGAGTTGCAAAAAGTGAAAGATTCTGACTATTTTTTGGTTTGTATACTTCATGTTATTTACCAGTCTTTATTCCAGCCTACGTGGCAAAGCCAGGTGATTTTACAGAAATAGCATATTTTCAATGGTACTCAAAAACAAAAACAAAAGAGAAAAAAAAAGATAATCTGTAGTCCTGTCGCAGACGTCATGTTGAACTAGCTGAGGGGTTCTGGGTTTTTGGGAGAGACAGAGGAGTCTCCTTGTACATTTTTATACGCTCCTTTCTTGTAAATACTGAGTATAGTAGGTGACCCTCCCACCCCTCCTCCACCCCCACTTTCTCCACCCAGAGAGCCTCCTCCACCTGTACACAACACACATGCCACCATCTTCATAAATGTATATGTACACACCCCCGACCCCTTAGTCTGCAGGAGTCTCAGACACGAGCCCTCAGTCCTCTGTGTGTGTGTTTCGAGCTCAGTGTTCAAATCATTCCAGCTGACGGTCACTTTGTTAGGATGGATGTGTCACCGCCTCTGCATGTAGGTCACATGCAACAGGGGGACAGAGTCCTCTCACGATGTATTTGTGGACCATTAAATTTGCTCAAATGAAATTTCACTCTCAGGTGTGTCTCAGCACTCAGTGAGGGAAACCTGTCCTGTTTCAGTTAATCCCATAATCGTCATTAATGCTGCATTGCAAAGATGATGGGACGTTATAAATCTGTACTTTCTATGATAAAAATGCAGTGAAATGACCAGAACACTAATATCTGATATCATCATTACAGGTCCACTGCAACTGAGGACAAAACCAACGCTGATATTTAACCTTCAAAAATAAAAACTACATTCTAGATAATAGTTTTCTCATGTGAACAAAACATTTTTGGAAAGGGTCCTTTAAATTTGGTTGATAGGAAATTGTGACCAAGCCGTGAGCAGATCGTCGTAACAACAGAAACATGAATACGTTTTAAACAGTTTACTGGAAAAGCAACTACAGAAAAATATATAATATCAAATATTTAAATCAAAGTTTTATTAATTAAATAGATCTATGATGAACATTGTGTGAAGTTAGAGTGTATGTGGAACAGCCTGGAACACTAAAGCTATTTTATAATAACAATAGATATAATGACTAAATGTAATGTAAACAGATGTTTTAACACATTCAGCACCAGACAGAAAATAGCTTGTGAACATAGTGGAACATTTAGCAGCTAAAGAGACAGATGTTTCTGGTGGAGTTTTGGAGAAGTTGGTGGAGCTGGAGACCAAAACAGAAAGAATCCAAGACTCACATTCATCAGGTGGACACACAGGAGTCTGGATGATGTGTAAATATGCAGCTGTCTGCTGATAAATTCAACATATTGAGTGTATATGGACATTGTCGCTGATGTTGTGCTCATATTGTCAGGCTGCTCCAAAGTTGCTAAAAGAAATTAACCAATATAAGTTTTCTCTTTCTTTACCAGTTTTTTTGTTGTTGTTGACACACACTCTGATTCTGATATATTTGAGGTGAGCTGAAATGAACTGATAACTGCAGCCCGACTGTTTAATCAGTCAGACTCTAGCATGTGGTATTTTTTGCGCATCATGAATGATGCATTCTGTAGGTGGGTAACTAATACAGCCAGATTTAACTGACTCAAGATGTCCTCTCTCACATGGGGGAAAAAAGTTCAAGAAAGCTTTACTCCTGAGTTTTGTCAAGTAGAATTACCAGAATGCACAAAGAGTGCATTTACATCCCTCCTGCAGGAAACAGATAACTTTCCCAAACTTCTAACTTTGAGAGAAGTGCAGCATTAATGGATGAAATTTGGGTCCTGGGGAATGAAGTCACATTACATAAATCCCACTTCATTAGAAGCACTTGGGGCCACTGAGTTGTGAAGTTGCCTGGTGCAACTTTCAAATTAAAAGGAGAGAGGGAGAGGTGAATGCATTTGGCAGTGTCACATTTGACATAATTAGAAAACAGATTCGAAGGCGTTTTTTTCTTTTTCACCTTGAAGTGAACAGGCATTAATCTCTGGCTGTGGCCGTCGTTATCCCAGCCTGTCTGTGTCGTTTGACAGAGGAGAGTCCAAAAATGACAGAAAGATTTTCTTGCTGTGGTTGACGGTGCGACTGCCAACTGTTAGTCAAACTTTGGTTAAAGTCCCAAACACTGGATCGTTTCCTCCTCCGAGCATTTGACAGCTCCTCCGGGTGTCGCTGGGAGAACTTACTGTATGTGTTCGCTGTAGCTCTGTGTTCATGTAAAGATCTCATAACGTTGTTTAGGAGTTTTTTCTCATCTTCTGTGACACCTGGTCTTGTGACGTCACCTCCTCACTTGCAACCCCCACCCCCACACAGACTCCTTTAGGTGGATCTTGCAGCGGCCCGAGCCCTAATGTTGTCCCGATGTTTGTTTTAGCAGAGGAGGGCGGTGACTTTAACATTGAAACCTTGTATTATGTGATTTTTATTTTATTTTATTCTCTCCAGTTTGTTTTTTTCCTCTGGACTCTTTGGTCTGTTTTTCTTTGGAATGGTCACTACAGCACTTTCTGTAAATTGGCCAATAAAAACTTGTTTTGGAATCTAGCTGTGCGTCTCGTATGTGTGTGATCGTGTGCGAGTTCTTCCGGTTTGTTATTTGATGAAGGAATTCTATAATCTGCAACCAGTGTGGTGTAATAGAGTGCAATCTTATTCTTATTATTCATGCAGAAATTACAGTTAGGGTTTGTACTTTAGTGAAGATGGAAATTCCTTTGCTGACAATCTCTACAATGCTGTCCTCAGGCTCAAGTTAAAATCTTATTTTTGCTTTTAATTTATTTTGAAAATGCATGACCTCGTTTCATAAAACTATGAGGTGAAAAGAAAAAAATATTCCTGAAAATTACATTGCAGCTGCTGTTTTTACTCAGCGCAATAACAAAAGTGTTTAATTTCATGTAAGGCTACAGGCAGTTTTTGAAAATCCCTCTAAAGACGTCGGTTTAATAGAAGGCGATCATCCGCTCATTTTCCAAACTATTTATCCTCTTCAGGGGAAGATGCGGCACTGATCCCCACTGGATTACTTTTTATTCTTTACTCAGTGCTGTATCAAATAGGCCATAAAAGCAATGATGAGGGCAGCAAAGATGAGAAAGTTGTACAAAATGCCACCATTAGTATGCAGGTTTCCATCTATACCGAGGTCCCACAGTGGTCTTTTGATTTCAGTGAGCTGGTATTCAATATTTTTATGGATGCAGCCACATGACTTGTCATGATCCTGCTTCGTAAAAGTGTGCAGGCTGTCAAGACTGTGGGTGGTTATTGTTATTATTTATATGCCGCAGCAGGGGGCCGCCCCCTCAAGAGAAGCAGCACAGTCAAAGTGATGCTTGGACAAATAGATGTTTTACTGAAAATGAAGACACAGGAGTCAACAGTGTCTTCTGTTTCAGTACAGGTAACGGTATAAAAGGATCAGTGTGGAGTTAAGACTTGTCTACAAATATTAATACACCAGCAGAGATGGTGGTCCATTTCACAAAGACGAGGTGAACAAACCCCAAATTTAAATTAAACCTAAGATGGAAAACTTGGGAAACTATAGTATGAGTTTACTGTATATACCAGTATTCACAGTGCATTCATACTGCAGCTACTTACAACAGAGGCTTTCAAGCTGTGCGGTGCATCTCCCTCAGGGGGCTGTGGGAGGGCTGAGGGGTGGGGGGCACAAAGGGAAACACATGCAACTTGCAGCTAAAATTGCACGACTCCTTTATGGACTCAGTCCAGTCTGAGACACACACAGACATGAAACTCACATTTTATAGATTCAGTGCATCGTTATCTTCAACGTCCATTACAAACAAACATCCATTAATCCACTCTGAAATAAATGCAAGGCAAAACAATTGAGGAAAGTGACTTTGATCTTTGACCAACACATTTATAGACACTATCGCATTCAAGACAAAAAACTATTGTGAGGCCATTGTGACCTTGAACTTTGATCTTTGGGTACCAAAATCAATTCATCGTCCGGGTTTGTACCAAATGTGAAGAAATTCCGTCGAGGCATTCTCGACGTCCTGCGTTCACAAGAATGGAGGGGAAAGAAGGGCAGACATTCAGACGGGCGGGACAACCAGAAAATATCACGTCACTGGCTGTCGCCGGCGCGAAGGCATGAAATCCCAGGAAGCTCCTCATAGCTCCAGAACTCGCCTGACAGTTTTGAAGTTTCCTTCAGTGTCACAGTAAAGTGATTCTCGTCAGTACATCCATAGATCAGCAACAAACAGGAACTGCTAACAGCTAAGTTGGCATGATTTAAATGATGATGCCAATTTAAACTCATGTAGAGGTGATGTCGTAGTTTAACAACTCCTTGCGTAGAAGAAGTCAATATGATTCATTCTGTTAATGATACACATATGCAACACTTGCTAATCAGTAAAAAATGACATGAGTCAATCATAGCTTTAGACAGCGACTGTCACTCAGACCTAACAACAGAGCAAAATGTTGTTTTGTTGTTTTGTTTTTTGTCGTGGAGCTTTTTTCATCACCGTCCACAATTAGTTTTTATTTTCTCCAGCTTCCCTCATTTCCTTTGTGTATTGCTTTGTGAAGCATCACCCAGCACACACTTCAATCAGTCCTTTGTAGAAGTGATATCGTTTTAACTGCACTTCATTTTGTCACCGCTCCAGAGCAACTAGAAGACCTACTTAGAATTCAGGTGTGGTATGGATTTGGGACACACATGATGCAGAAGTGAAGCTGGATGAAAACCAGACAAGCTTACTAAACATGGGTTTTCAAAATCACATCAAAAAAATACTTGTCAAATAGATTTTTATATAATTTTAATGTATAACATAAGAGTTCATCTCGTCACATGGTGTACTTGTAACTGTTCCACATTCTTGGTTGAAGACTAAGAAAGAAGAGCTCCGTGACTTTGGAACATCCTGTCTGAGGACATACTGCAAGACGAGATGGTAGCTTGCTTTGATTCAAAGCTTAAAACCCAATAATTTCTTTATTTGTTTTTATTTTACATTATTTCTATGTATGTATTACTTGTGGGTGTTTTATATGTGAGGCAATTTGTCACTACTTTCTAACTGTAACTGTGAAACATAGAATGAATCCTCTCATAGCAAGGATTTCCCGAATCACGAGTCTATGGCCAATAGAATGCCTCCATCTAGTGGATAATGACTATACGGCCCATCACTCTTCAACCTGTGGTGAATACCCTTGTTTCACGGCCCCTTGAGTTCTGCTCTTTGGCCCTCACACAGTCTGTCACAACCCGCTGAGGTGCCCAAGATCTAATTCATTATTTCAGCCTTGAGCCAATTAGAGATTAGCATGATTATTCAGAGATGTAAAAACTAGTGTTATTAAAACGCGACTAGCTGTTCTAAAATAATTGTAAACCAGAGCCCCGGAGGCTTCCTGCTGTGGCAGGAACACACCAACTCAGTATAAAAGAATTTAAATTAGAATAGTCATAAAACTTTGAGCAGAGCAGGGGAAGCCTGAGGCACCGTTATCTTCATTTTCGACATACAAACACTAATTCATTCTGCTAAAGCCCTGCAACCTGCCACACGACACCGGCACACAGGCTGTAGACTACATATATCTGTAATTATCACCTCTATCCTTACGGCAGTGTATGAATAATGAACTCGCCTCAAACAGAAGCACACTACACTGATACCCATGTATGTTATTTGTTATGTTCCTTTAAGGCACAGAGCAGAGACTAAAGCAGCAGTGATGAGAGCAGCTACAAGGGAACTTGAGGATCGAACAGTTTGCACACACATGTGCTCTCTGAGATAATCTCACAGATACATTCGCTGAAAACAAGGGAAGTGAACCAGAGCCAAGAGCCGAGCTGCTTTTCCACAACGAAACACAAGCAGTCTGAATATTTTAGGGACACAGCAGATTGTCACTGGCTCCAGAATCCACGAAAAAGAGTCGCCTTGAAACATAACCTAAAAATAATACAGGTTTAGATCCGGTCATCAAAAAGAAAATAAGGAATTATACATGTCTTCTGTGTATTTTATATATTTCACACATGGTGAAGAGTTTGGGCTCTAAACACTTCAACTTCTTTTACCATGTTTCTACATTTCCTGGCTTGAAACAAAAAATGCGACTTGACATGTTAAAGGTTTATAATTGTGTACCTGGCTTTGATAAGGGGCGTGACACACTATCAGCCTGTCATACATTATGCAAATATGGGGCATCGTGATGTCACATGACACGTCATCACAATAAGCCACCAGACCGAGGAGGCATTCCAGGAGCTTCAGGAACAGAGTTTGTCCTGGTTGATAAACGTTGCAGACCTTTTAGATGCTGCTGTTCAGGATGTTGTAAACCTGAAAACCAGTCAGCACTTTTCACCTGGATGATTAATGAAGATCACACAGGAATCAAAGCCACATCTGAAACTAGACTTCTGTTAATGTCCTGTTTGCACGACTTGGAAAACCTGTCCGGGGTAAGTAACGTCATTATTGATAGAAAACCTGATGCCGAAGCTAAATCATGGTCTGGCACCGAGATCAAGACAAAAACCTGCTTAATGTCCTCATCGAAATTGAGCCTAAACTCATTGAAATTGTGAGAGCACATCGCAGAGCACAGAACGATCCCACCGGACGTCAGATCAATAGTGCTCAGGCTTCTCTGATTCAAGGACAAAGAGGACACTTTCAAACAAGCGAAGTGTCTGAAGGCTACTAACTTAGAAGAAAAAAAATCAATGAAAACTTCTGTGAAAGTGATGCAGGATCTGCTGCCACCACTCAGTGAGTGATAGAATACTGCCTATTTAAAGTATAATGAGTCGGATGTTCATCCTCCTCAACTTAACCAGAAAAGTTCCTGCGCTTGTTCAGTTCAATTCAGTTTGTCCATTTACACTTTTATTTTATTTTAATCGATGAATTCTTACAACAGTGATGAAGAGTGTCTGATTTATTAAACTTCAACTCTTTGAATTATGTAATGACAATGTTGAATCCTGATATTTTAAAAAATACATAAAAATGTGACTTTAGAAACTTAATTAATTTGTGTGTTAACAATTGAAGTCATATTTGGAGTTGTTTAACAATTTTCTTCTGGTCAAAAGCTCCAGAACTAATATATAGTATATATAAGTGGATCATGAGTGACAATTATTTTGTCAGCGGTAGGTTGTCACAGAAGCATTACTACCTTCTTGTTTTATGTTGTTAGCCAAAAGTCGAGTTTACACATCCAACAGATAAATTAGGATCGTGATGACCGAAAGTTCAATTTTCGCATGTTTCATCTCTTACACAGTCTGTCAAAGTAATTTCATAAATTGATAAAACTATCAATATTGATTTTAGCCACTTTAAGGATGACATGTAAAGTCACTGCTCGTAAGAAGTATTCGTGGAATCATGAGAAGTTTCACCAAAATGTACTGAGCAAACTCTACTGATGAAGTGTGTGATGAAGCCACTTAGTGAACTTTGAGTCTACGTGAGATGTTGTTTTCTTCCTCCTCTGAAGTAAGATTTTCCTCATTTAGAGCTTTCATGCAAAGTGAATCCCTTTAATAACCACCTCATAATCAAACCGTCTCACTGGCCTGGGATTACACATCTGCTCTCCACAGTCAGCTGCAGTAACAGCACCGCTCACTCCTGTGGGCAGCAGCAGCACCACGCCACTTCACTGTCAAGGACACACTAATCCACTTTGCTCTAATTATGAGGCCACCATGAGAGCAGTGAGGAGGAAATGCCAGTTCCATTGTGCCAAGAGAAATAAGCTAATCAACTCATGAGCTAACTGAGTTTGTGTGAAGGTTTACACAGCCTCAGCTCACGGAGCTCGGGGGAATTCAAGAGGAACTCGTGTTATTTCATATTGTTAAGGTCAGTCGTGCAACAGCATGAGTTTGGAGACAAATCATTTTCATCAAAAAGCCAGAGGCAGAAATCTAATTTTCCATGTAAGGAACAGGGATTCTGTGTGGACCGAGAAAGACTAAAAAAGTTCATAAAGAAATATGAATTTTAGGCCTTAAATGCATCAAACCTATTCAATACATACTGTGTGATATTTTAAATAGATCTTATTTATGTCAATGTTTATTTAATGCTGCTTATGTTGCTCTTTAAAATATGTTTTTATCTTTGTTTTAGCAAGGAACAGTACAGACTAGACTCTAACATCAACTCATACATGTAATTATAGAAAATTTATTTTATGATTGTTTCAATTAATTGTCGTTTGTTTCAAACTTCTCTAATGAGGACATGTTGCTTCGATCTATTTTTAACCTTTCAATGTAAATTGAACAGTTTTGAGCTGTGAACCATTCAAAAGACAAAACAAGATATTTGGTGACATTTGATCGACATTTTACATTTTTACTTTTATTTTTTTTCTTAATTTTATCACTATAATCACGTACTCATAAAAAGTTTGAGGAACAATTTAAATGGTAAAAACAGTGTGTATTCATAAAGTGCTTTTCTAGTCTTGAGGAAAACTCAGGGCTCATTTTATGGTTAGTGTATGACCCGCTCTTCCTCCTGAGCCACAGCTGCCCAATCAAAATGACCAATCAGAGCCTCAGTTTGGACTTTTAATAAATAATCTCTGCTGGTATTCTACAAACAATATAAAAATAGCTGGAATGCCCCTTTAAATACTTCCAGAATGATTTCACTCTCTTCTCATCTTCTCGTGCACATTTGTGTTGCAGTAACTGCACATGACCAAAAGATGGCAGCATTGATGAAGCATACGCTGAATCCATCTGCAGAGTTTATGCTGAAGTCACGAGGGGACAGATACTGAGATGAGGTGCAGGAGAATCTTCTGACCGATTTCATGTTTGATTTGTTTTTCTTTTTTAATTAAAGAACATTAAAAACAATTTTACACAACTATCTTTTCTCTGGAGTCTTTTCAGTGAATCCTGCAAGACAAACCTGAATCAACACGACAAGTTGCACATCTGGATGGACCAGACCAGAATGTGAGCATCCACCACCCCCATGCAAGATGCATGGACCTCTTTGTTAAAGAAAATCTAGAAGAGCTTACATTAAAATAAAAATGTTAAAAATGAGCCATGAAAACTAGGATAACAATATTAAAGGTCATGAACTCTAATCGCTGCCTTTCATTGGCTGGTTGTGTGTTTACATAAGGTGGGGTGGGCACAATGCAGAGGAAACAGAACAGGCCAGTGGGTACAGATGACATTGCACAGTTACACTGACGTCACACAGTGCGTCCGTGTGTGTGTGTGTGTGTGTGTGTGTGTGTGTGTGTGTGTGTAGATATGGAGATTGCATTTTTTTTTGTTACCATAGAGTCTGTGGCAACAGTGACCATCAAGAATATAATGTCATCCTCTCAGCCAGAGGTTCCAGGAAACTGCCAATGTGTACACACACAAACACACAAACACTCACAACGAGAATGTTTAGATACTCAAATGTGATGCACAGATGAGACACAGTCGTATCGCCTGTAGGCTGTGGCCAGTAATTAACCAATGTATGTGTGTGTGTGCGCCCCTGGATATGTTATCACTAATTTTAGATGTCCCTGTGCGGTAAGGTGGTTTATTTTAGCCTAATAGGCAGCGGGTGACATTTGAAAAGGTTGAGATAGTAGGCAGGAGGTCCGACTGGAACCCTTGGAAAATATTAACAAGCGCAATGGATGGGAACTTCATATCAACTTATATTCTCGCTTACACTTCTCAACAAAATAAGGAGGGAAAAAAAGGAAAAATATGACACACCTCTTGCTATTTCTGTGGATTTTGCTCAACTAAAAATGTATACAAATAAAAGAAAAATATGTTCAGAGGGAGAGAATGTTGAAAGAGAGGAGACAGACGGAGAAAAGATGAAGTGTGGATAAGAAAAGGTAGCACACTGTTCTTATTGGGCCTCACACTGAGCCCTCCTGCTGTGAGTGTGACTGTGTGCCACTGAGATTAGAGCATGACTCATGCCTATACCTCCACATAGCATCGAACGGTAACAAAACTAGTGCTGCTGAAAATAGAATTCAATGTTCGGACCATTTCTGTGCTCATTAAGCTGCTGTTTACAGAACTATACATCTGTGCATTTTATTCTGAAGCTTTCCTCCATTTCTGCAGGGGTTAAATGTCATCTCCACTCAGATGCTGAAGAAAGAAGGACATGGCACAGCTGAAAATAGACCTCAATCCTTCACTTGTTCCATCACCTTCTCCTATTTTCCACCTATTTTTTTCTTCACTTTCACTCACTGCCACTCCAGAGTACCAATCTCCTCTCAGCCTGTCTTGCCCTTCTCTCATTCACTAATCCCCCTCTATCCTCCTCTCCTACTTTTACTGGCGTCTTTTGTTAGTTTTTTTTTTTTTTTTTTTTTTCCTGCAGTTATCGGCTCCGTGTTCCAGCCGGCAGAACAGTGTGTTCGAGCAGCATTTCGAGGAGTGTTTGGGATGATAGAGAGAGAGTGCTGTCACTGAGGCTGAGCTATTACTGCACATATACTATCTTTAGATTGAATCTACCACTGAAGCAATTCACACCAGTAGAATCATCACAAGACAATGTCATTATAATCATACTATACTACTATATTTGATTGTTAGGTCATTGAATGAATCATCTTTTGGAAAATTGAGAGAAAAATCATCTATATGGTGAACATATATGATTTATTAGTGTAAGTTGATGAGTCCTCTATAATAAGGGTGTTTATGTGCCTGCAGTGAGCCTCCAGTCTTATTCCAGGTCATTCACCCTCTGTCTCCTCATCTGTTTGTATCTCTAAGCAAAAACAACAACTGTCAGTGTGGTGGGAGGTAAAAAAATAATGATTTCTGAGAAACGCCGTATCTATTAAAGCCAAAACAAACCATGTAAAGTCTATGACGCAGTAATTCTCGACCCCCCCTCACACACACGAAAACAAGAGAGAAGGGCAGCATGTGTTAAATGGATTGTCAGTGTACAAGAGGGCAACACCATGAATGTCTACCTGGAGAGACGGAGTGAAAATTGTGCATCGTTGTTCCTATTTGAGCAAATAACATGTGGCTGATTTCTGTGTATGGAAAAATAAAAATACTCCCAGCGTAGAATGAAAAACCCTCTGAAACTAAACTATGCTAAATATAGAAATAACACAATATCTATAGATATCTACTGCACCGTTTATCAACAAGTCTGTACACAGACATGAAGTAACGAAGTACTAATACTTTACTTTTAAGTAGATTTTTCAGGTATCTATACTCTACTTGAGTATTTACTTACTTAAATACTTTTCACTTGTACTCGCTACATTTGAACACAAGTATCTGAACTTTCTACTTCTTACATTCTCCAACTCTGGCTCGTTACTTGTGTCAGCCTCCACGGATGACGACACGACGTAACAGACGTAACAGACGTGGAGAGAAGGCGTCGAGTGAGTGTTGAGTTTGTGATACAGACAAAATCACAGCAGTGACGTGGAGGAAGGAAGTGAACCAGGAAACATTTCCGGCGACGGCGGAGCAGATTCGGAGAAGTGAGACATTCCCCATCCATTGCATGAGGAGTGGATGTTGGCGCACCGCGCGCTTTTACGCACGGCGCACCTCTGGCTCATCTCCTCCCTCGGGAGACGCGCAGACCCCGGCAGCATGTGTGCAGTCGGGGGGCAGAGCGAGACCATAAGCGTCCGGAGGTTGGTCGACCGAGGTCAGGCGGCTGTTCCGGTGATGATCCTTTCACAGGTTCACCTACAGAAACCTTGTTACGACTTGTACTTCCTCTAGATTGTCAAGTTTGAATGCGTTTTTCTGTGCAGGCTGTTTACAAAAGAGGAAAACTATCTACCTACAACTTTTTACGTTTCCCGAGTTATCAAGAGGCAACGTGTATCACCGAAGTTAAAAATTCATTTTTACTTTTGTACTTAAATATTTTTCAGAGCCTTTACTTTCTTACTTTGACTTGAGTGAATAAGTTGAATCAGTACTTCTACTTCTACCAGAGTCGTTTTGTACTTTCAGTACTTCTACCTAAGTAAAGAATGTGAGTACTTCCTACATCTGCATGTTTCACATTCATTTTTCAGTGAATTATCCCTTGAACACAGGAAATCAGCTCTGTCCAAACAGGCAGATATAAAATGAGCACTGTGGTAAATAACTCAACACAGAAATAAAAGAGTAAATACGTAAACATTTTCATTTATTTGTTCTTTATTCTGGCAGGTTCTGTCCCCGTCACCCTACAGAAAACTGCAGTAGTCTCTGTGATGGTGGGGAACATACATTGGACAAATGTGGTGCAGAGAGAAGCTGAAATATATGAAATGTTAGCTTATACTCGACTAAACAAGCAAAGCTGGCGCGTGATTTTTTTTTTTCTTCATAAATTATGTATCTCTGCCCATCTCTGTAGCAGACAACAAGGCTCCAACCAGCCATCTCTTCCTCAGCTCATAGAGCCGCTCTACATACAACGTAAAACATGTCTGCATAGAAGAGAAGAAAAGCAAGAAGCTTTGCAATAGAAGGATTACAGAGGCTTATAGCAGCCATTACTTTATCACAGTTCTCATAGCTCACATCCTTCTCACCTTCAGTCAGAGCAGGTACAGCAGAAGTTAAAGCACTGCGAAGGAATAATTGTGAGCAAAGAAACCACAGGGAGGATTTGAAATAGCCTGAGCAGAGTGAGCGGTGTAACAAAAAAAAAAAAAAAA